AGTGGTTAATTTAAAGCCATTTAGTAAGTTAGCAGTAATAACAAAAAACAAGTTCTTGACTTTCAATCCTATAATAAATATAAATTTCAGAACAAAAAGTCTCTGGGAGAAAGTATACTTGAAAAGCTATAGAGAAGGAGACCTGTGAGACCTGCTGAATCAGAAATTCTCCACTAGATAGGGCCCAAGGATATGTGTTTTTTAAAAACCTCCTCAAAAAATGTTGATTTCTTACCTTTTTTTTTTCTGTATTATAATTTTGAATTTCATTGGGTTGTCATAAGAATAAATAAGATTATACAAAGAAAGGAATTAGATTAGTGCTGGCATACAGTTACTACTCAATAAATATTAGCTATAACTATATTTTTGGTATTATTACCATAACAAACTCTCTAGTTGAAGTGCGCTTGAACTGTGTATTAAAGCAAGCAAAAACTTTGAAGTAGAGAAAAGGTTTGTAAGCAGTCATTTACATTATGTTGTGGAAGAAACCAATGGCATTGATATATAATGAAAGAAATCTTATATGATTACAAGCAAACTTTAATTTTTCTACAAGTATCTTTCATCCCTTCCACATTCTTCCTCCTTTTTAAGAACCACTTTTCTAAAGCATTTATAGCAATAGAGATACTGCATTTTCCACCAAAAAAAGTGCACCCTTAACTCGCTTTACTAAGATTATCAAGATGGGACTGTGAAAAGTGGCCTAAAGTCTTTTTACAATCTTGGCAGATGATCATCACATCAGTCACCCTCTTCTGCAGCATTGTGATAGCCGGCATATCACTCATGTGTCTGAACCGCACCACCCACGCAGGACGCTATGAGGGTTTCAACCAGTCTCAGAACCGCAAAGCGACAGAGTCGGGAAACACTGCTTTTGAGGAGAGTCCAGTGCCAATAAACGAACCCGAACCTTTTACAAGTGCTATGCCAGAAACAAGTATGATCCTTAAATATAAAGAACTCTTACATGGCTGTAAAGCTTGTGTCCTAAATATTTTAAGAGAACTTCCTTGAATTATCTTGAATGTCCCAGGTTATTTGTCAAATGAGGAACTCGAATGATAGTTGATAATAGAAAGAGTTTGGTTAATGGTGTAAGTCAGGAGTTCGCAAGCTACAGTCTACAGGCCAAATCTGGTCCACCACCTGTTTTTGTATGGCCTCAGAGCTAAGAATAGTTTGTGCATTTTTAAAGGGTTGAAAAAAAAATTTATGACACTTGAAAGTTATATGAAATTTAAATTGGAATATTGCCACGTTCATTCATTTATGTATCGTCTAGGGCTGCTTTCATGCTATATTGGTAGAGTTGAGTCACTGAACAGAGACTTAGTGGCCTGCAAAATATTTATCATCTGGCCATTTTTAGAAAATGTTTAGCAATCCTTGACATAAGTGAAAATATGATCCTAACTAGTGACTTCGTTAATAAATGTTAACAATTGTTAAAGGGTTTGCTTCAATTCATGAACTGAAATTAGCAAAAGAGTATGCATTTTGGATTCACTGGAACATGTGGAGATTTCATAGACATAAAATATTATAAATATTTTTGACATATGACATAAAATAACTTCCTATTATATTAGGAAGTATAAATGATAGCACATGTTTAGAGAGTTTGTGGAGTAGAGGGATGACTAATCTCAAAACTATTGGTTGTAAATACCAATTAGTAAAGGATAGGAAGAAAGTAAGCGAAAGGGAGAAAAGACAAAAAAGACATTTTAACTATCTTTATGTTAAAAGTAAAAAAAAAGTCCCACAAATCTTATCATCTTACGTTGCCTTCCTTCTTCCTCTCTCCCTACCTCTGTCCTGAACTAGAAGATATAACACAGTGGTTAAAAACAGAGATCTGAAGCCAGACTGCCTGGGTTCACATCCTGACTCCACAATCTACTACTGTTTGATCTTGGACAAGCTCCCTGTGCCTCGATTTCCATATCTGATGCTGATAATTCCTACTTCATAGGACTGCTGAGTCCTACTACATAGGGCTGTAGTTTGCCAACTCCTGACTAACACCATTGACCCTGCTTCAGTAAGGCCTCCTTTAACTCATTTTATTGATGGTGGTCACTAATTTCTGTTAGATCCTTTGTGATTATATCATCAGAATTTCATTCGTTTGAGCCCTCTTGAACATTTTTCTTTTTAAAACAGAAGTTCAAGGATGACATTTATGTTTTCACTAAAATTTTAAAAGCTGCTTTCCCTAAATCTACAGTACTTTTCTGATCATGCCCAGTATCCTCTCCTTCTCATTTTCTTTGTGGACTCTTCCAGTTATCTTATAAACCCATCTACTATTTGTTTTCAGGCAGGGCTTGAAGACCACCACTTCCAGCTGGCTCTTTGTGTCTATCTCTCCCACAGGCTATGAAAAGCCTGAGAACATCTATGCAGAGCCCTAAACTAAGTGTCCTAAGTCTAGAGAGTTTTGTTGCTATCTCTTTTCCTGTCTTTTAAAAATAGCAAATAATCTCCACCATAGCTGTTCTTTAAATGCTACATCATCATCTCCAGTAGGAAAACTAGCTTACATCTTTACTATAAATGAAGGGAGAGCCAGAAGACAGCTATCACTTACCTTCTCAGGACACCTTCTGCAATGTTTATATTTCCCTCTCCTCTTATCTCGTTTTTATAATTGTTTTTTAAATTATCTGTGTAACCTACTAGACTGTAAGTGCTAACACTGACTTGCCTATCATTATAGCCTCAGCACCTAGCATAGTATCAGGCTTACTGTAAGTGTTCAGTAGTATTTGTTAAATGGATGGATGGATAGATGGATGGATGGATAAGATACGCCATGATTTCTTGAAGCTGTCCTAGAAAGTGCCCTGGCAAAGTACTTGTTTATTTGCTTATTCACCCAAGTTCCAAGAGAAAAGGTTTTTTAAACCTATCAGGTTATTTTCCTTCCCTAAATCCTGCTCTCTTCTGCTTTGTTATTAATATTAACACATTGCACCTTAGATGTCCAGCCTGGCCTCCCCAAATCTCAGTACTACAAAATAGTTCACTCACCTCTGCCCCTTGCTACGCATTTGTTAGAGAACCATGGTTTCACATGTTACAGTGTAGAATGATGTTTGAAAGGAAAACTAACCCATTTTAATATGAGATCAAATGTTTGGCTAATACAAAGAAGGCTAATGTGCTACTTATAGTTCTTTCTTATGTTTGAAGGAAAAAACTGCTATAGCACTTTTCATGGTGGCCATAATCTCGTATGTGTATGTCATTGGAGTGTGCTGGCTTTATATCTGTTTTCTTAATAATGTTATCTTAGCTGATTTAAACCTTTAAATTTCTGAAGATAAGAGGACTGGGCCAGATGATCTTTGTATTTTCTATTATTCTGTGGTTCTGTTTTAACCTTGAGATAGCATCATTACCTTAAATTTAGAAAGACATTTGCAATAGCTTATTATAGATTGCCATTTTCATTCTTTTGAAATCTTTTTTTATTTGTTTTTAAGAACACTACTGAAGAATTAAAGTACATTATCAATGAAAGATTCAGCCTAGGAATTATTTTTTTTCTAGCGTATTAAATTTTAATGCAATCTATTACTGAAGTTATTATTCTATTATAATCCACATCAAAGAATGCCATGAATATATGTGAGATATGTTTTAAAGGATACTGCATGCAGTTCTCTGACTATATTAGAGGAAAAATTACAGCTCTGTAGCAGATGTCTCAGTGTGACTTCTGTAAACTGATATACCTATAAGTCAGCAAGAGATTTTCAGCAGTATATATATGAAAAGAAAAAAGAATATAATTGTTTTTACTGCGTCTTCTGAACTAGTAGGAGACACATTCTTGAAAAAAAGTGAGTTTTGAGCTAAACTTAAAGGAGGAAAGAGTTTGGATGAATTAACCAGAGAGGTAAGTCCCTCTCAGACTAGGCCTAGAGACCCAGATAAGCATGGAATTTGTGGAGGACACTAAAGAACTCTTCTGAAAGAAGGGACAGGCCTTTGCTGAATAGTGGGAGTGGTTGATAGGGAGAGAGGGGCCAAGTCCTAGAGAGCTTTCAAATTCAGGCCAAGGAATTTGAATTAACTACCCTAAGTAATAGAGCATTAGGTGTGTTTTTGATGAAATAAGTTGTTTTTTAGGAAAGTGTTGAAATACTTAGTTCCTAAAGCACAGTGGAAACTAAGAAAACAGCACAGATAAAAACATTTTTCCTTGTCGAACATAATCAGGAAACAATATATAAAGGAGCTGATCTTCTGTCTGCCACTCTTTAATTGTAAACTTTTCTGTATAGGCACATTTGATACTTTTTGATAAATAATATGTGACAACATTTCCATTGAGGCTGCATGGGAGCTGTGTGTGTATATGTTGATTTGTTTGTTTGGGTTTTTGTTTGGGGTGTTTTGGGGGAGTGTCCTGTTTGGCATCTCTTGAAGTTGTCCATTTCTGTTGTATTTGGGTTCTGTCCTCACGTTAATTAACCTTTATAGGTTGCTGCTCCTGCTCCCTGGGAAATGGTGAATTACACTGCTCATCTACAGAGCCAGTAGCAAACATAAGCGCTAGTGGGCCTGTGACTCCTTCATTTGAGAAAAGTAAGTACCTCCTAGCTATGAGGATGGGCCTAAGAAACAAAAGAAGTTTTCTTATCCTAATGCCTTAAAAGAACTCTATGTAGAATTTCTATAAAAGCTATATTGTTTGAGAAAATGCATTCTCAAATAAGTTGGGGGAAAGTGCTGATAGGATAATAATCATGCATTGATAGAATACTCATTTTTTAAAAAGAAAGATCTTATAATGTAGTAATAGGTAGTATTACACATGCACAAACACACACACACACACACACACACACACACACACACACACAAATCAATTTTTCCAATAAATTTAACCCAAGTGATAACTCCAAGAACTTTGTCCTAAGCATCATTATTTTGGGGCCTTTTTTCTTGTTTTAGAAGCTGAGACTTTCCCCCCACTCCTTCCTCTAAGACCAAGACTAATTAATTAGTGCTTAATTACATTTTGAATCTATATGCTTAAAATATACCCTTTCTTGTAAAATAAGAAAAATCTTTAAAAGTAATAATCTTTTGGCATACAGATTAAGAGACTGAATCACATTTGTGGTCTGAATTTCAAATTATTTAAAATAATTATTGAGAACATGTGTGAAGTTACAATGCACTTTTTAGTCAATTATGCTTATTTGTAATCAAACTAGAAAGGGAAACCACAAAAAGTCCTGTTTATGATGAAGCATACGTTAACTGTATTGTTACCAAAGGCATTATGTTTTTATATAACAAATGTGAGGATTATGAGAAATAACATGCAAATCACTTAGCACAGCAGGTGATATATGAAGTAAATGTTCACTAAACATAGTAACAGTAGTAGTTATTATTCAGGCAGGGTTTATATTTGGCTGCTATTTGCTGGCTTTTAAATAGTAGAATTTTAAATAGTAGAATTTTGTAAAAAATGTTTTACCCTGCTTTTGATGTCATATAGCTGAGATGGGAAAACAAAAGTTTCTTGGGAAAGGCCCCTCTCTGTTTTAGGCCAGAGAAGAGTCATGCCTGTGATTTTGATTTGGTTCCTTATAGGAAGAGAATAAAGTATATAATGATATTTTTTATTCCTTAAACATCTTTCTTAAGGCAAATTTTAAACTCCTTAGTGAAAGGCTAGTGCTACGTAGTAGTTTGTATTACAATGAGCCAAAATAGGGTATTCGTAACCAATATGTATAGTTATCGCAGATGAAACTTGAAGTATTAATTTAACTTTAAAAAAAAGCACATGAATATTACATTGCCGAATAGCAGGGAGCTCTTGCATCCTACTCATATTTTTTCAGATAAGAACACCCTACAAGTAGAACTCCCCTAAAACAACATGAAGGAGTCTTCCTCTGATTTCATCTAAAATAATATACTGAAGCTGAGCTGAATGTGCATACGTGGTGGTTTGCTTAGGAAGTCATTATGAATTTAAAATGCATTCAAATAAAAAGCTCTGATTACAAATTGTCGTGCTTACTGTTTTATAGATGATCACTGTGTGAGTTGCTGTAACTCCCAGAGCTGCAAATTAGCCCAGGAAGAAGAACAGTATCTACAGAGTGGAGACCAGCAACTGACTCGACACGTGTTACTCTGTTTACTTCTCATTATTGGCCTGTTTGCTGTAAATGTTCCTTCTGATTTTGTTTTGGGGCCATTTCTTTAAATTTTTGGCAAAGGTTATATTCAGGCATCTGGGAGAAACTTAGTTACTACTTCCCAGGGGGGTGGTGGCTAGGCCATCTGATTCCTAATCTCGAGCTAAATGTTTTTGGGGGAAAAGAAGAATGAATAATCCGTATTACTCTATTACCTAAATGCCCCCAATAGCTTATTTTGCTTAGAATCACTTACTCATTCTATGCCGTTAACCTAGAATTTGATAAAACCAGGTATCTACATGATGTGCGCGGGGCCACTTTTTCTTAACATATTTTTTGACTGACCTCAGCAGATAAATGCCTACGTGGCCTCTCAAAAGATATTTCTCAGATAAATAAACTTTAAAAATGATTTTTAATTATGAAAATAACATAACCACTTTGGACAATAGATACAAAATAGCAAAAAGAGGAAAAAATATCCATCACACTACTGCGTTCTATTTTTTAATACATTTTTCATGGTTCTAATCATATATAGAGATGATATCCAGCTTTGTCATTTATGTCAAGCATTTTCGTGGTGTTACATAATTGTTCATAATTGTTACTTTAAATGGCTCCTCAATAAACCATCGAGGAGATACATTATAATTTATTCAACCACTTCCTTATGGATTGTTCCTAGCTTTTTGTAATGCTCTAATAAACATCTCCATGCAGTATACTTCCTTCCAATAGATTCTCAAAGTTGAAAAACCTGGATCAAAGAGTATAAATATTTCTATGCTTTTTGATACATTTTACTAAATTGTTTTCCAAAGTAGTACAGATTTGTAAAGTGCTCTCACCAACACTGAATATTACAAATTTTTTAATTTGATAACTTTATAAGCTAAACATAGCACTTTATTTTTTAAATGCATTTCTTTTTAAAAATTACTAAGTTTTTTAAAAATTGCTTTTATGTCCTCTTTTTTGAATTGCAAGTTATTATCATTTAATTCTTTGAGACATTTCAAGTGTAACTTGCCTAGAGGTAGGAAATGGACGATATGACCTATGAAGAAACTCTCTTCCCCTATTCATACTTGTATAGTTATTACACAGAATGATATCAGCCAGCACCATTTTAACTGCTGTTTAAGAACAAAAATCAAAAAGTAAGAAATGCTGCCAAGAATTGCTACTTAGTGATGTGATTGTTTTCATTGTGCAGAACTAATTTTAAAATCAGTCCTGTCTTAGGTTAGTCGGCAGTCCTGATATATTATGTAATCTTCTGTATTATGGCTCATGTCTTCTTGCTTCAAATCTGATCAGAATAGATGCTGTTTGAGTGACATCTGTCAAGAGGAGAGGTAGAAACCTCTTGTTCTAAAGACAAAGCCTCTATATTCTCTTGGTGTTTTTCTCTTTAGTCTTTTTCTCCCTAATTATTAAGTAGGTAAGTTATTGTTCTGTGTTCTGGATAGAAAGAAATGATTAGCTTGTTTCATTTAAAATACTATTTTCCCCTTCCTTTATAGAATCTTTCCAGTTGTTTATGGTGGCTATTCAACCAAGAGCCTGGAAGACTGTATGTCGAGTTACAGTTTTTCTGTGCTGTGTTTAATTTTGGCCAGGTATTTATTTAGTGAGAACTTTGAGAGGTTTTTGTGTGCCTGGATGGGCTGATTGGAGGGGGGTGCGGATGTTGTTTTCTTTTAAATCAAAAGGGTTAGTTTGTTTGCCAGCTGCTGGTATGTGTGACAGCTGACAGCTGCCGCCTGTCTCCTAGTAGAGATGAATTATTATATTGGTTAAAGTCATCAGAATGCACACAGAATGTTGCAGTCAGAATTACCAAATAGTTCTTTGCTTTGGTTTTGAGATAAAGAATGATAATTAAAAAAAAAAAAAATAACGATAATTTAAGCAGGGACAAGATGTTCTAAGTTCTTTTTAAACTTAGTTGTCTAAATAAGTCACTTTGGGAAAATGACTTACCTTTTCTGAGCATTTAGTTTAGCCACTTAAATTGGTGTACATCATTTCATTTACATTTTGATATTTCTCGAGCAATATGGACTTAAAGCTTTTCTGAAAATTATAAATCAGTGTGTAAGTAAATTTTTGCCAGATATAATAGTTACCATTCCTTGAGAGGCTACTTAACTGTATGCCAACCATTGTTAAGCATTTCACATTAATTATCTCATTTAAGTATCACAATACCCACAAAGTAGACATTACCATCCCCAATTTAAAAATTAGAAACCAAAATTCCATGAAGAACTTATATGATAGGTGCTGTTGTCTTTGTTTATGTCACTATTAAAATAGATAATTAAGGATAAGTGACATTTTAAATATTGGGAAAATATTTTTTATGTGCAAATTTCAAAATTTAATTCTGTATTCAATCCCCTACTTTAATTAGAGAATATTAGTCCCCAGATTATCAGGCTGAAAACAGTAATGTTTGGAAATTACTGGCTTGGCCTGTTAAATCTTAAAATAAGTGGCCATATGAGTTAATTAACATTTATCAGTAGCTGTTTTTCCGTAACATTAGTTCTTTGAAATATTTCGAATTTGTTTTGCCATTTTTGTGGGAGCAAAAACGGCCATACCTAGGTAGACAAGTGACCTCAATCAGTTTAGTACAGACATAAGCGTCCCAAGGACTACTTGATGCCTGCCTCACTTTGGGATACTGTTTAAGATTTGATTTTGTACTCAAGAACTATAAAATGCTGGGTTGAAAAAGCATAGTCTCTCTCAGCATTTTGCATATTTACAGCCCAGTCTAAGCTGAGCCATCCCCGGACTGGCACTGAGAAAGCTTCAAACAGAAGCTAATGCCAGGGATGTTGCATTTGAAATGCGGCCCCCACAGCTTATGGTTCAAGTGCTTTGAAGGAGGGAGAAAGTTGCAATCCCACCCCTCCCCACCCCTACATCCCATTTTCCTCTTGGGGAGGTATTGAGGTTTTGTAGTCAGATCACTCCCTTTTGGTTGTTTATAGTTTGGGGGTGAAGAAAGGTAGGCCCTTCATATAATAGACTGCTTTCTCCATCCCACCTCCCACCAACCCGCACTTAGCTCCTTGTCCCACTGTGCCTGACGTATGGCAGTTTCCAACCTCCTGTCTCCCCAAGCAGTCCTCATCATCCTGATCTGTGGCTGATATCTGCTGCCTAATCACCCCCATATCCTTCATGCCCTTTCCCTTAGCAGTAGTCAGTTTCATTTCACATAAATGTTGTTTAGTTGCTGCATTACATTCAGAATCTACAGCACTTTTAAATTATATAATTTCTGAAGTTTTAACAAAGGTAATAAGGAAATACATAAGCATATATTTTATTTTTAAAAAGGGAAAAACAAAGAAATATAGCCTCTAAGCGTTTTCATTTTCTTCAGTAAGCTAGCATGTACATGGTGTCATTCAGTACTGGTTTATATCACACATCATAATTAGGAGGACAGATAATTGGGAAAATGCAGCCAAGTATTATACCTGCCTCAAGGCACTGAACTTTAGAGGGCTCGCCTAGTGTGTTCCATTTAAAATGTTGCTCTAATCACTATAGGTTTGCTTCCCAAGCACTAAATTTAGTGGTCTCCATAATTTCTGTCTTAAAATTTTATTGTTGTATTCATAAAACATAGTCTTTTTTTTCTTCCATAGGGATTTATTTCTTTTGGCATCTTTGGATTGGATAAACATTTAATCATCCTACCTTTCAAAAGAAGGTAAATTTATTTGAAATAAATCTGTATCTGTAAAGGTAATGACAAAGCCATCCTGTTAAGATACTGATATATTTAAACCTTTAGTAACTAATTGCTGGGAGGCCACAGAAGGGTACACTAAACACCACAGAAAGGTTTATCTGTTGATTCACATATTCGTTGTAACTAATTGCAGAGAAAATATTAGAAGAACTGTTATTAATTTAACATTGTAATTTGCATTTTAATAAGAATTGATGGTGCTGGCTTCTATCTATACCATTAACTACATAAAGTAAAATGAAACTTGAAAATGCATTTAGAAATGGAAGTAATAGGTGGTGTGCTCCTAAAGGTCTATATTTGATTGTCTTTCTCCTTTAATAACAGGATTTCTCTATCAAACTGACAATTTATTTAAAAAAATCTAAAGTTTTCTTCTTTCTAAATTTTTGGGTTTTTATTAGCTTAGAGAAGTTTCTTTGAATTCAGATCAGGAATTTCTTTATAAAAAATAATAAAGTAGTAATACTCTATCTTAGGGGAAGGAAGAAGAGGTGGGGGAGACAAATCTTTGTACTTCATTTGATTTCAAAGTCAAAATTAGTACAAGCTAGAAGTGCTATTGGAATTTCTCCTGTAACTAAGTGCCCAGTAAATGGTAACTGTTCTTTCTTCTCATTCTCCATTTTCATCATCATTAACATCATCAGCATTATTAAGATGTAGTTGTTAGGGTCATAATCCTTTCATGGGGGAGGAAAAGCATAATAGGAAAGTCACTGGACATAGTTACCAGCTTCACAATCATCAGTTAAAATATTCAACAGATTTATTGTCTGGGCTGGTAGAAACTCCAGATCCCAGTATGTATCTTTTGGGTACTGAAATTGGAAAATGATTAAATAATTGATTTGCATTTCAAAACAATAGAGTGTAGATTATGGAATTTCATTTATGGTAGAAACTGAAATGGGTCAAACATTCCTAGAGGGTATTTTATAAAATGTTAAAGTCCCCACCCAACTCCACCTCGCCCCCCAGCCCCAGTCTGCTCTGAATAACAAACAGAATGCAGGCTAAGTATGTTTCTGCTTCAGACACTATTGACGTCTGTGTGTTGTAGATGACAGCTTTGGTAAATGACAGCTCTGGAACAGCCATGTTGATGCAGTAATAAGCAGGAAGGGTTCTCTCTCAGTGCTTTTCTTTTCTTAAAAACAGCCTCCTTAAATTTTGGTTTTCAGACTTGAACTCCTATGGAACAATAAAGAAAGAGCAGAAAACGAGGATTCTCCTGTTCCTGAGGAAATAAAAACGACCTGTCAACAATTTATCCATTATCACCGTGACCTCTGTATCCGAAACATAGTTAAAGAAAGAAAGTAAGTATATGTTCCAGTTGATTATATTTTAGATGATTAATATTTGTTTGTAACAGGTAAGTACTGTAGTTGTAGCTCCACGATTATTCTTTTTAATAACACATATACATGTAAAAGTTAAAATAGCTATGGGTCAGTTTATAGTTTAAGAAACAGCATATATAAGAGCCATTATCACTTTGATTTTTATATTTTTAAATGTCATATAACTCCTGATTTCCGTATAAAATATGAAAACTTTAGTTTTAATAAAATGTAGTAGAATATTAATATTCAATTGTTGTTGGCCATTAGTGTCTCACAAAACTTTGAGATACATTGGATTTAGAAGTGATTTTACATTCCCCATCTCCTAGTGGTATGTTATTTCATATTACTAATGATATTGTTAAGAAAATGAAGTAAAACTTCTGTCTCTTGATTAATTCTGCTGCTTTTTTTCACCTCATGTTGTAATCTTCAGTCTGTGACATTTATTTTTTGAATCCTCAAGGTATGGAGTATGCAGCAGGAAATCAAAAAGCAAACGAAGCAGTGCCAATATTTTTGGTTGGCATGAAAGAGAAAAAAAAAGAACCAAATACTTTTATGTCTATAACTAAAAATCTTTAAATTTATGAAAATTACCATTTAGGATGATTTATTTACAGATATTATACCACTTTATTTCATTATAACCAGAAAGTAGCCTGGTATAGCTAGTGGAAAGGAGACTCACTGAATAGGGACTAATATTAGAACTCAGCTCCTGGATCTGCTACTTATTAGCTGTGTGACATTGGACAAGTTCAATTCTCCAAACCTTAGTTTTCTTCTTTAAAACATCTGGTTCTCCAAACCTTAGTTTTCCTCTTTAAAATATCTTGTTCGAATTAGATGACAAAATCTATATGAGGGGCCTCGCCCAGTTTCTGGAAATGGTTGACTATGAAGAAAAGTTAGTTTCCCTCCCTTAAAAGGACAAATGCAATTGTTTCAAAGAATCATTTATGGATAGTTTCAACAATTTAAAACTGCTTTTTAAAATTAAAAAAGAGAACTCCGTGTTGGCCCCACCAGGCCCCCTGTGATTGCCGACTGTCAGGAAGCAGAGCCCTTGCCATTTGCAGGGCTGCCGGGCTGC